CTTGCTATTTCTACGTATAACATGAGGAACAAACGAAAGACCGGTCCAGAAATTCCTCAGTGGCGTGAAAGAGATTAATTTTCTGGAATGTAACAAGTATATTTACAACTTTATTTATCCACTGCATAAACAATATGAACCTCAGCAATCGAAAACGAAAAGCAATGAAAAAAACCCTTCAGTTATAAAAAACGAGTTGAATTCATGAAGAAGAAAGATACAATGAACATTTGAGATATTATCTTCGAGATGAACGGAAAAGCAATCATTCCATCAAAGTAATGATGGTTAATTAATAATTCAAAATTCATCGGAGGGATGAAAATAAATCCGAACTATCGAGGGTTTTTAGATGCGGCAGGTGCATTTAGTCATGCTACTTTTCAAGCATTCCACTCATTAACATCATAAGAAATGTTATCGTTCATCACGGAAGCACTATTATACCGCTTTGAGAAACATTCATAAGCAATTGAAGAATTAGAAATTTTAAATATGTACCACATGGTACACATTTATCATAAAACAGGTGCCTATGACACGATTGAGCAGTTATTTCATTCACAAAAATTCACGTACGAACTAAAAGTTCCTTTATAAGCAGTAATTAAAAACTTATCAAAACTCTTCAGTGCAACCAAATAATAATGAAGGAATTCAGAAACACTCGATCATACCACAACAAACCAATGATCTTTTCTGTCGTACCAAAGAGCTAAATCAACTTGTACAGCTCATGAGAGACTAGGTAAATCAATATATTAAAGAACTTACGAGATATTTGTGACTTCTTCAGACTGACTTTTGTTCAGGCCTAGTCGAACTAAAGATACTCAGAAAACAGGATAATGACGTATTTCCATGAGCGAGCCGCGTTTAGGTATCCGAGTGAAAATACACCATCACAATGGCGTTTCATCATAACAAAAAACACCAAATATTAGGCTGTCTCAGTCAATCCCCAATGTTGATGAGAGACAATGTGTCGCGACGGAGCGCGAAAGAGGCGATTCGTGAAGGACACAATTTTTTAAACTGTACTTGAGCTGTATATGTATAGGATGTGTACGGATATCATGCACTATCGATTCGGATGATGAAACTTAACTTTTGTATATCTTATTTGGAGAATCTTCTTCCTTCTGTGTTCGTATGATATGAATGCTTTGTGTTTCGATATTTAAAACAGTGTTATTACAGAATAAACGTCGAAATGGTGCGTCGGCAAAATAGAGTCTGATATTATTCGCTTTCTGCGACTATATTCTAATTCCAAACAAAATTAAGATATTCTCAACTGCCCGTCGAAATTCAACAATCCAACAAATTCATTACTGATAGTGAATACGTTCCACCAGCACATCAAATCATTTGCCCCACTAACAACACTCGTTCAACGCAATGCCATTGTGATATTGAAATAATAAATCTGAATAAATAATTTGAATAAAGTGAGTGAAAATTTGTATAAATTTTCTCCATAAATAATCGTGATTTCGGATATTTTGTGTGTGTATCGTTTTGTGGAGAAAATAAACGGTTGTTTTCGGAACGTGTGGTTGTGGGATTGTAATCCGGCTCCGATACTACAGCCATCATCAGCAAAAATCCGTTCTTCCATAGGAGATGCGCAATGCTTCCCAACTACTACAGTTCAAATTGATCGAGAACCGACCCGGCGAAGAACAAGCTGCCGAATGTAAGTCTCAAATCAATTTGATTGATTTACGCATGCGATCGTTACAGCTCAAACGACATACCTTTGAGAAAAAAGATGCGCAATGTGTTGTACAGTGATCAAATTATCATATGTGATCAAATTAGCATAGGTGATCTGCTGATTTGTGTATGAGTGGTCGTCTATTGTCATAAATTTACATACAAATAAACTCTATATAAGGACGAGATTTTATTGTCTTGTGTGTCGTGTCTTGTCTCGACCCTAAGTAAGGTGGCGTCGTATCTTGGTTTCTTCGCAAGTAAAGGATTTATATCTTCATCGTCTCGGGTCTTATTGTCGCTCATCAGTGTTAGCGGCATAACACAATGGCAACACCTAATCGACCAAATTCAAGATGAAACAGAAGTCAAAAGCGAAGAGCAGTTATATGAGCAAATGTCCACTGAGACTTGTGGTTTGCTGTCAATGATTGAAGAAACGAAAGAAACCGTACTCAAATTAAGTTCACTCCGCGAAAATCTAGACGCCGCATTTGTTCAGACAGTCAATGCTCCTCCACAAATCACTAATGAACCCGCTCAACCAGTGTCTATGATAAAACTACCCCGTATCGACCTTCCAACGTTCTGGGGTGACACTGCAAATTGGTTTGAATTTTGGGCTGTGTTCGAATCTGCCATTCACAATCAACCATTGTCAGAAGTTCAGAAATTAACATCGACGAGCGCATAAGAATTACTAAAAACGGTCGAAAACAATGGTTTAAATACGACCATCCACAAATCCTGCTATATTTAAGCGAGAACAATAGCAATTAAATTAACGCGAATATATGCGAATAATACTCGTTTCGTCAATCAGCGAGGAAGTGCTTGGAGATATAGTGAAATGGAAAAGCTCAGAACCATCTTGGTGAGTCCAAAACCATAAAAAATGTTTGAAAAATGCCCACGTTGTTCAGAAGCAGGCTTCAATTAAACGAGTAACAAAGACGTTTACACCAATAAGCTTTACCAAAGACAGAGTTAAAATGTCTCACAAGAAGGAGAATTGCGATGTGCAGGTTGCAGGAAAAATATTGTTCTGTTTAACTTATTCATATTCATTGTCAGACCTCAATATTATCCGGCTTTCATCAATCGTCAATTAATATTGTAGTCAGTACTCATGCTACTCATATGCAATCGTCAGTTAATATTGATATTCATATTCAGTCGTCACTTAATATTGTTACTCATATTCAATCGTCAGTTAATATTGCTATTCATTTGCGATTGTCAGTTAATATTTTACTCATATTCATTACCGGACCACAATATTATCCGGTTGCATCAACCGTCAGTTCCTATCATTCTGACTTCAACACTTGAACAAAGACCCGTGTACCCAATCAAGTCAGTCCATATTGTTTCATTTGCAACATTTCAACAGAGCCCCGTGTACCCCAATCACATCAATCGTCAGTCCATATTGTTTCTTCTGCAATATTTCGACAATAATTCGACTATGCCATTCGTATTCCGGTCAGTAGTGTATCGCACCGGCTTCATGATCAACGATACAAGCAACTTAGCCCGCTTGGCGAATCAAATAGCCGTGTTCTTCAAAATAGACACAGCAGAAATCGTATCATCGGAGTTTCCGAATGATCTTCAACTTCAATTGGTTATTCAATCATTCATCGGAACTCCAGTGGCTGATACAGCTCTTGTTAATGCGCTTCGTTACATCATGGCACCTGAATCTAATGATTCTGTCTGTGCGTTGCTAAACTTCTGCTTCCTGCTCCATGCAAAGTGGAACGGGATGGCTGTCATAAGTCGACTCTCGATGATACTTAAAAGGGAAGACAAGCAACCTCAATTCTTGACTCGAATCTCAAGAGTTTTGTCGACATCACCTTTCTTGGATAAGGTTCTAAATTTCTTGGACAAGCACATGACTCTAAAATCTCCCTCAAAATATGCAACATGGTGCAGGGCTATTTCGAATCAATTTGAAAGTGACATATCCAACACAAATCAGTTAATCATCATTGCAATTCGGACATTCATAATTGATTCTACCGGAAATCAGCCCATATGGAAATCTCAAGTTCTGAAGAACATTTCGTCATCAAATCTCACTGTTGCCATGAAAATTGCACATTTCATTCTTGAGTATCTTGAAACAACGAAACTGCAACGGATAATCATTGCAAAAATAGGTAAATTTCATTGTGATATTATGGAAAGTTTGATTGCCCATAAATGAGTGTCGACTGCCCCATTCATCGAATTGAAATTGAAAACAAACTAAATGCGCACGGCTCTGAAGAATTTCAGTTTACTCAGTGGTGCGATTTATTATTAGTTTCGAATGATACCTATTCAAACCTATTGTTCTTTTAGCCTTCAGAACGGATGATATTTACTCATGATCAAGCTCCAGCAGTGCACTTTTTGTTGATGAAAACAAATTGTTCCGTTATAAAATTTTATGGTAGACAGTGAGCGTTCAGTCTCGTTTTGAACTGCTCCACCACCGATAGCTGTTCGTTTGCTTCGTTTTAATGAACTGCACATAAGTTTGATATCGTCTAGCAAAAAAACGAACAAAATTTATCAAATCTTCAAAATTCTCAATTTGAATTCAAACTTTCAAGTGATTCTTTTGGAATATTTGAAATCATGCTTTTTACGATTTTCTACATGAGCCAAGATATCGCTTTATTCGTATTACGGAACACTCTTACTATTAGTTATCTCGAACTGCTAGCTTGACTCCACTTAGAGATCGTTCATTCAAAGCTAACATTCAAGTATCATTTGTTCTATTTGATAACATGCTTGACATTCCAAGGAATTAATCTATTATTGTTGTCAGTGTTTTTATGTTTTCAATGCATTAAATTCAAGGTCCGTTTAGCAAGTGTGATGTATTCGTGGAGCTTCATTTCAATGGCTGTCTTGACATTTCTGTGGGTATTTAAAGTCCATGGAGGTAGGTACAGTCTATTACTTACTAGAACTGACGCTCAATGAAATTAAATGACATTTGAAGAATTTTCAGCTTGAAAATGTTCGTCTTTAATACGGAATAATCTCTTCTGATTTGCACATATCCGAATAGAGAAAAGAATTTCGATAAAAAAAAAGAAATTTGACAAAGTATTGAGAAAAGTCGCGAATTATTTTGATAATATTTGGTATTGGTACTAGTTAAGAGGATAATATGGAACAGTGTCGCAACGATGTTCTGGACTGTAGAGACGTGAAGACGCACAACTTATGTGGTACTTCTTTGGGTAAACTGTGCATAAAAACTTGTGAACGTTGTAATGGACCAAGTGAGTAGTTTGCTTATATCTTTATTATGCTCTCTTGAAGTGTGTGTGATTTTCTTACGGAAATTGTTAATTGCCAAAGCCAAATCAAATCAAAACGGTAACAGTCGTCGCAATAAGTTTAAGTCGTTGCAATAAGAATGGCAGTATTCCTCAGATAGAACGAAAAATTCGATGTAGAAGTGCACTTGATTCGATTGTAACTGATAATCGAGTCTTCCACAAACTTCACTTTCTTGATCGTTTATGCATGAAGTTTGGATGTTCTTTGGAACATTCGCAAATACAGCTAATCAGTTCATTAAAAATGGATTTTCGTCGCTTTATTGTTACAATAGTTGTCAGCGACTCCCCGTAATCACAGTTCCTTACGGAATTTGTTTATTGCCAAAGCGAAATCAACATAGATTAAAGTTGAGCCATTCCTTTCTTCACAATTTCGCATAAGGTTAAACCGCTAGACACTCAAAATCTTTGTTGAGTTCTGTCATCATTGAATTGATCTGATCTTGAAGTTTCGGTGGATTCGAGTTGTGAATATATGGAACTTGCTCACGATCAGACTGCTTTCTAACTGAATGAATATATGGTCATATAAGAATAATTGGCGATCATTAGAAAAGCTGATCACGAAATTAGTTGATTCGATTGGTACAGAAAAGTAAAGTAATTTGAATTCTAGTGAAAAAAATTGATCGTTTCAAATGAAATTTCAACAAAATTACGATTATTTTCATCTAAACGAGCTAATCTGAACTGAAAATTCAGAATGTGCAGACATCGATGAATGTACATTGTTCGCTAAGAAAGGCTTATGCGATACGAGTTTTGTGTTCCGCAAAGACTGCTCATTCACTTGCGGAGTGTGCAGCGGCCAATGAGCAAACATCAAAGCATCAAATCGGTTTCCGATAGAAAATTTCTTGAAGTGATGGCGATTTCATGGGGATATCTTCAAAACAATGCTATAGTTTTCCAGAATATAAAGTGCTCTTATCAGGTTGAATTGTTCATTTTCGAGTGCTAATTTTGCAACAATGTAAAATATTTTTT